ATCATATATTTTCAAAGCTCTTCCAACGAAGCAATAATTGATATTTAGATAGAGACTTATATTCGAAAGTATGCGCCCTATAAAATGTGGTTTTAGAAGTTTAAAACGGCAGCTTATTTTGGTGAAAACTGTACCGAGTATTGTTAATCCTGTAAACAAGCTTTAAAAATATTATTCTCTCGCTTACAAAGTTCAACAGACCTTTTTCGTTCTGGCAAAACAACAAAAAAAAGAATAAGTGAACAACATGATACATCAGTTCCTGCATACTAAGTATTATAGTTTCTGAAATGTATTTTATTTAGTAAAGATGCGTACCTTAAGTAGAAACAGTAGCGTTAGGGAATAAAATTGGAAGAAGCTAGTTGACACAATAATTAGATACTGTTGTATTGAGTGGAGTAACATGATACAAGTAGAAATATATTTCGGCAGTTTGATAATTAACTTGGAAGTTAATAAATGTTAGGCTATCAACCTTGACGTTGCATGAAACATAATTTAATTGCAGATGTTGTAATAAAGCCGAGGCGATTTCTTAAAATCGCTTGAGAAAATTTTGTAGTCAAACAATTTGCCTTTTTTTTAAAGTACGAATTGTAAAAGGGCCAAAGACGAACATCTTCACATGCAAATTGTGTGCATGAGTTATTTTTATAATTCTGTTTACTAGATTACTGTGTGATAACTCGAATTCCCTCACGTACGAACCACGAAAGGGGGCAAAGTCCAACACTTTCACGTGCCAGCTGTGTGACTGTACATCTCATGCAGATTGGCTTTTCACAATGATAAATACGATGTAGTAACTTGGACGTATGAAGACCTGTTTCGTTTTGTAACCAATGCCTTAAAAAAGGCTCTTGTCTTTTAAGACGCAATAGCTTTTAAAACATGAAGAAATACGTTGTCGGAGTTAAAGACTGTTTCACTGAGTAGAATCGCACTTGAAAACCTCGTGAATTATGATGATGCAACCATCTACGTCAATGATAAAAGTCCTGGTATTTCGTAACTATTCAGTATTCGATGAGTCACATTTTGGCTTAAGAAACTCCGAGGAAACCTTAGAGTTTTCCTTCTAATTAACGTTTGGCGAGTAGAAATTTATTTTACTTTAACAATTTGTTTAACTTGCACCAGATGTAACGGGGAAAGACAGAGGAAAGTGAATATATAGGTTGAAGATCGACTCAGCTGAGCGTTCCGCGTTTTCATTTATGTAGTGCAATACCCAATTTCGCACAAAAACCAAATCTACATTTAGGATGAAAAAGGTAGATTCATCACTCTTGGTAAGGTTACCTCGAAGTATTATAGTTACACTGAAGCATTCAAAATAGCTCATGCACGTTAAACGTGCCTATGTTTGAAGCCTGATGTGACTGAGAAAAATAGAGAATTCTTTTTTCACTGTTTGTTTTGTTAGACTTGTTATTCACCGCCAGTAACCTCATATTTGACTTAGGTCTAAACGTTTAGACCCAAGTCAAATTTAGAAGGATTTGTACGGAGTCATCAGAGCATAACTGGGCTAATATCTCAGAGACAATTTGTCCCGAAATGCTAGTTTTTGGCAAGTAGGCCTCTTGGATGTTGCTCTTTTCAGAATATCCTGACAAATCCTATAATTTCACAAATTAATTGTTTCAAATAGAACGTTTCTAGCCCATACTTTTCCATCGTTTGACAATGTAATTACCGTCTCTGCCAAGAAAGAGTTTTGAGATCTAGAAATTTTGCTACTATGGCAACGTGACATCACACTTCTTTTCTCTACTGTTTAGCCTCCTACGCAGGCGTTTTCAGGGGAGCTCGTCGGTGGTTTAAAGCTTTTTCTTTTTCTAATTTACTTGTTTAATATTATTTTTATTACGTTTTTCTTCTTATATTTAGGGAATATTTGAAAATAACTGACGGAAATGGATCGCTGGTTTGGCAGTACAGATATTCTTATTCGCCTGATCTGCGATCTTTCGTTCAGGTTGGATTTGGAAATGCTGATAACATAACTGTTCAGATTCATTTAAGCAGCTACAGCCGCTTCAAGCTTCAATACGGAATTATGACGCAAGGTCTTTTCTCAGGTTAGAATCCTTGCATCTGCTAAATGAATAAATTATATAGGTAGATAAAACTCTCTGATATATTAAATTTGGCATATATTAGCATTCTAGATAGGCTGTCAAAAGCGAAACAACAATAGGCATGTCGAAGCGTGTGGCGAAGATGGTTGCACCAAAACATGCTCTCTACATCAGGCAAATAGCTATTCTTTTTGCAGCGATTATTAACGTTTCTCTTTTTCCTATTCGCAACATTACAAGATACTCTTTGATCCACCACTGACCATTTTGGAATTTCTCCAGAGAAGGCAACTTGAGCTTCAACTCTGACTACATTCGCAAAGCCAACAACATAAAGATCGCTCATCTCAATATCCGCTCGCTGAAATGCAGGGTCACTTCCTACTTGTCAAGGAAACTATTTTATCAAATAAATTTGCAGTTTTCGCTATATCTGAATCTTGGCTAGATACCACTGTTTCCGACTTGGAGATTGAAATTCCTGGATACAACATCTACCGGGTCGATCGAGGTAACAAGGCCGGTGGCGGCGTCTGTGCATATGTCGCAAGTAACTATCGTACAGAACTGTTAACCGACATCTCTAATATTTCTAGCAACGGTTTTCATCAGCTCTGGTTGAAAATACAGGTCAGGAACTTAAAGTCAATTATCATTTGCACCGTTCATAGACCTCCAGATACAACGTTAACCTGTTTGGAGGACAATTTGACAGCCACTCTGATTTACGCGGACAAGCCTATGTACATAATGGGAGACTTAAATTGTAATCTCCTAAATGCAGAATGCACTGAACCGAAATCCCTGACTAGTTCCTGCGAGTCATTTAATCTGTCCCAGTTGATTGCTTCTCCTACAAGAGTAACGGACTCATCATGTTCTCTTATAGATGTGATTCTCACTTCACAGGCTAAACAAGTCATTAAAGCTGGTGTAATAGACTGCTTAATAAGTGACCACGATATCATCTTTACCGATCTGCGTTTAAAAGCATCTCGACCTAAGGTCACTTATGTCAAAACAAGAAGTTTTAAAAACTATCATCCTGACGCATTTCAGTATGACATGTCTTTGGCTCCTTGGTCTGTCTTGGAAATATTCGTCGACGTCGACGACAAATTACATGCATTTGATCTTCTTTTCAATGAGATTCTTGACCACCATGCTCCAATCAGATCAATTAAACTTCGCGGAAAGCCAAATCCTTGCATAACTGAGGAAACACGCGAGCTTATTGAAATCTAGGAATTATTGGCGCAAGATAGCACCCAGAACTTATAATCCCGCTGACTGGTCTACTTACAAAAACCTTAAACACCAAGTGAGAAAGTTAACAAGAGCAGCAGAGAGCGAATTTGTCAAGGATCAGATTCAAAACAATCCACGAAATACAAATTTTATTTGGAAGGCAATTCGCCCTTGTCTCTCTTAAAGATCTGTCACCCCAAAAGTATATAGCAAAGATGACAAGACCGTGGCGGATGATTTTAACAACCTTTTTTGCATCAGTCGGAAAATCTACAAATTCTAAAATTGAATCTTTGGCTGAAGAGCACAACTTCGTTCTTCATGAAAACGCTTGTACTCCTAAATGTTTTCCTACTAATGAGCAATTTACATTTAATTATGTTGATTGAAAACAAGTCGCGGACGTCATAAACGCAATGCCCTCTAATAAGGCTCCTGGGATTGACAAGGTGCCAACTTGAGTCCTTAAGGACAGCCTGTTGATCACACTCCCTTTTATTACGTCAATCATCAATACACTACTTCTCTTTTAGCTTCAACATTCCCAGAGGTCTGGAAAACTGCCGAGATTACACCTATTCCAAAACAAGGCAACCACGAAGTTCCTAACAATAACAGACCAATTTCCCTGCTACCTGCCTTGTCAAAGGTTTGCGAGAGAGTGGCTTATAATCAGTTTGGCACCTATTTCACAACCAAGGAAAGGCTTACCACAAAACAATGCGGCAACAAAAAATGGTTCTCTACTGAGACATCTTTAATTCACACAACTGATGCATTTCTCAAAGGAATTGATGAAAAGAAATTGACTGCCTGCGTGCTTTTAGATATGAGTAAAGCCTTCGACAGCGTTGACCACCAAATATTGTTACGTAAAATACAAAGCGTCGGCGCCTCAACCAGTGCGCTAAAATGGTTTAACAGCTACCTTACAAATAGATATTAAGTTGTACGAATTCATAGTTCCGTTTCCGATCCTGTTCCAATTGAATGTGGCGTTCCTCAAGGCAGTATTCTAGGCCCCCTATTATTTAGCATATACGTAAATGATCTACCAGAAGTTACAAGGCATTGCTCTACAGAATGTTACGTAGACGATACAAAACTGTTTGTTTCTTTTAATTTACATGACTCCCAACGGATTGTCGAACAAATGAATGAAGGTCTCCTGCAGGTGCGCAACTGGTGCTTCGGAAATCGGCTACTACTGAATCCAGACAAGACAAAATTAATTGTTTTCGGGAGCCGACAGATGACCTCTAAGCTCCATGAATTTCAGTTGTCTTTGTTGGGAAAGGACATTTCCCCAGTGCAATCAGCGAGAGATCTTAGCGTGATTTTGGATCCGAACTTAACATTTGATAACCGTGTAACGACCTCAGTGTCGGAATGTATTGCACGTCTAGTGCAAATTAACCGGGTCAAACGTTGCTTAGACAAAAATACGTTGTTAACCGTAATACTGCCTTAGTCTTCAGCAAAATGTACTACTGTTCAAATGTTTGGGCAAATACCACAAATAAGAATATTAGAAAATTGCAGGCCGTTCAAAACTTTGCTTGCCGAATCGTCAGCGGTGCGGAAAAATATGATCATGTAACACCCCTCTTAAAACGCCTGTCTTGGTTGCCTGTTAAGGACCAACTGTACTATCGCCAAGCTATT